TGGCGTTTAATTGGAAGTTCACCCAGAGGGTCTAGATCTGCAGAACTAAATCTCAGATTAATTGCTCTAAAGCAGAGATTACGGTGTTTTATAACATAATATTCAATACGATAGGTGTATAATACAATATTTGAGCAGGAACCATTTATTTTTCTATAATGAATTTTACATCTTCTGCAGTATAGGCAACCATTATTATATATACCTGTATTAGTGATTGCATATTACTTCTCCGATTAAACATTTTATCGTTATATAGTCTATGCAATCATCATTACATAATTATGTTTGTATTAGTGCTTAGTTAATTTGACACCTATACTATAGGAGGATGATGAATTAAAAGTTACACCCAGTATATTACATAGAATAATGTAGGTTTTCTCTCTCTCTCTCTTGTCGTTTCCTCATTGCTGAGGATCGTGATTCCCTACAATGCGGGCTGTCAATTCTCTCCATCTCTTGCGATTTTGGGCTGCTCTCATGGACTCGGAAAACGTCTCTCCAGTGTAGGTTTTATGTAATATGTAGGTTTTATGTAATATGTAAATGTAGGTTTTAATGAAAAGAAAAAATGTATCCACATGTTTATTTTTATTTATTTAGCGTATGACATTTCGACACATATATGAGGATTACAATAAACAAGTTATCCAATACCTGCGGTTTACATTTGAGATTTTCTGGAGCGCAGTAGACTTTCGGTCGCATCTTTTATATAGTTATGAATCGGCAGCACTGTGTTGTTAATGATCTTTTTATATTCAGAAGATTGAGTCGGCGAAGGTGTGGTAGTGTCTCCCAGCACTGGTGGCCAATGGATGGTATGGATTTGATTACTCTAGCAATAATTTTTATAGTGTTATTTAAGTGTATCAATCTTTTGAACGTTAGCACTGTTAATCCGTATTGGTGAGCAATATTCAGCTACAGAATAAACAAGAGCTAAGCCGAATTCTAAGATTGCAAATTGACTTACTAAAAAATGATTAAATTCAATAAACAAATTTGAAAGTAACAATATTACTTTCAAATTATATGATGAAAAAAATCTGCACACAATGTGGATCGAGAAAATATATCAGCGGAAGAATTATACCAGCAACTTAATGATGGTCGGAGAATATACAAACGTTAGTAAACAAGAAGAAAACTGCTTATCTGCTTAACTACTAAGCGTGGAAGGTGATATATTCTCTCCGGAGGGAAGGAAAAGCAAAATCTAACTTAAAGTTAATAGATCTAAAACAGTGGAAACACCATTGTGAGGATACCGACAGTGGATAGATGTAAATTCCAAGAGTTCGAAATGGAATAAATATTCCAACAGACACAATTAATTGAGATAATAATCGGAGAGTTAAGCGATGCCCTCAAAAGATCGAAAAATGGTAAAGCAGAAGGACCTGGAGAGATCTCAATTGAGTTGGTAAAGTATGGACCAAAAATATTATATGAGATGGTTCAACTATTTAACACATGCTTAAAAGGACAAAATATCCCTGACAAAATGTTGGAATCATCAGCTCAATATTCAAGAAAGGGGATAAACGCAAATGCTCTATTTATAGGGGAATAACTGTTATCAGCTCAGTGGGATGTACGGTCAAATAATAAAAGACAGAATCAGAATACGAAGACATAGAAGAACAAAATGGATTTCATGCAGGAAGATCGTGCACTGATGGTATATTCGTTTTGCAGCAGGTAATCGAAAATGGAAGGCAAGGAATCTATCTACCCACCTATTGTTTGTAGATTTAGAGAAGGCATACAGTACGGTACCTTTGAATTGACGAAAGTAGGTCTCAGTAGAGAGTATCTGGATGCTATCGCAAATATATACAAAAATGCAAGAAGTGTCGTTAAAGAAGGAAACTTCATATCTGAATAATTTCCAATAACAAAGGGGCTTAAACAAGGATGTTGTCTATCTCCGACCCTATTTAAAATATATATTCAATAATCGCTTGAGCAGTGGAGGAAACAAGTATCCGGAATGGAAATAGACATAGGCGGTGGTAAATGTCTAACAACTTTATTTTTCGCAGATGATCAGGTAGTCGTAACGAATGATGAGGAAGACTGTAGTCCGAAAACTAAAGAAAGGAAAATGAAAAATGGGGCCTCAATATGAATATGTCAAAGACAGAGTATCTTAAAATAGGAGATGATAAAGAAGATTCAGAGTTAGAAATTAGAAACACAAAAACATGTAATGAATATAAATATCTCGGATCTATATTATCTAAAGAAGGCACTACCAAAAGAGACATCGAAAACAGAACGCAACAGGGAAAAAAGTGTTAACATTCTAAAATCGTCTAGATATCAAACAAGAAACGAAATTGACAATCTATCGAACCTTTAGAGCACATTATGACTTATGGGGCACAAGTTTGGCAGATCACGAAAAAAGATAGAAAAAGAATAGAAATAGTAGAAATGGATTTTATAAGTAGAGCGTGTGGTGTATCCAAAAAAGATCATATCAGGAATAAATATATTAGAAGGAGGAAAAATACTGTAAATTCCAGTGTAAACAGAATTGAATCGAGACAACTAGTGTGGTATGGTCACGTGAAACGAATGAATGAAAATAGATGGCCAAAGAAAGCTTTAAATTACATACCACAACAAAGAAGAAGGGGAAGGCCTTCAGTTGCCTAAGAAGAAAATACGGCACATAATGAGATAGAGCCATTAAAGAAGACGAATGGATGGACAGAAAACGATGGCGATCAAAATGCGAGAAGAGGCAGAGGCTACAGGAACCTCGCTTATATATAAAAAATCTGCTTAATAGTACTATCAGCAATGTGAACTTACAATCGTCGATAAAATGTATCAAGCATATTCAGTTAATGTGAACGATTTATTCATTAGTAGTACTGTTTTGTACCAAGAATTATTTATGTAATTCAGTTTTACCTGTGCTAAAAGTTATTAGACGATCCTTTTTCTAATCCCATGTCATAAAATCTTATTTGACAATAGGAATTCAATTTGATACTAGAATCAGTCATAAGTTTTGTTAATTTAAACGGATAAAGATATATTTAACAATGATTAGTTTTCTTCAATTAGGCACAGAATACTCCATTCCAACCCGTCCTTGGGATGGTGTATTCTGTGATTTAAGGCATCTATATCATAAAGAGACTTCAACGCTAAGATCGGACAACGACTAGAAATAACCGAAGACCACGTAGGACAATTTGGCTCTGGATTTAGAAATGAGAGAGCAGAAACCTTGGTTAACTTCCTACAAGCCCACAAATACTATGCAATTAAGAAAAACCTCGAAGAAAGTGAACGTGGCTATCCCCAGACAGAAAAACTTGAAACGAAATAAATTACATACTGTGTAACAAAACAGTTATCATATAGGACGTAACAGTAATAAATACGGCGTCAGTAAGTAGAGATCACCGAATGATTAGAGCCAAATTAGAGATAAATCATAAAAATAGAAATAAATTTAGAACAAAACACAGGAATATAGACACAGAAAAGCAAGTTAAAATCTGCGAAAGTATTAGATCTAGATAAACTTAGCTTAAATGAAATCAATGAAGTCATAACAAAAGAACTATTAAATGCAAGGTCAGAAGTGGCAACCGCTAACAGAAAACGAAAATCCAAAATAAGTGTAGAATCACAAAATATGCTGAAACAAAGAAAATATCTTATGAAACATAAAATATTCACTGCAGAATGTAAGGAACATAGAGTAATAAGAAAACAGATAAAAGAGGACATTAAAAAACATCATGAAGACTGTATAGAATAAGTCATAGAGAAAAACCGAAGTCTCAAATACACCAAACCGAAACTAAGAAAGAAAAGAAACATACTAAACATTAAAAATGAACAAGAACAACTAGAAAAAAGTAAATCTGATATAGCAAACTCAATTGAAAAGTTCTACCCCGATCTGTATCGTTCCAGAAATGATCTCTCTAACTCCTCAAAGCAGAACTTGAAAAGGCAGATAACAAATGTCAACTCAGAAGTGATGGCCGAAATAAGCCACGATGAAATAGAAAGATCAGTAAAAGAAATAAAAAGGAATAAAGCTCCTGGAAGCGATGGAATCCTAGCAAAAATGCTGAAGGAAAGCGGACAAGAAGCCATCACATATCTAAAAAGACTATTTAATAAATGTCTATTCGAAAGCAACATACCCGATCAATGGAATACTGCTAAAACAATACTAATACAGAAAAAGGGAGACACCACAGACCTGAAAAATTATCGGCCAATTTCACTTCTTTCACAACTTTACAAAAATTATTACACACAGGTTAACAATTAAATTTGACGGATATCAACCAGTAGAACAAGCCGGATTTAGAAAAAGGTACAACATCTGTGACCATCTATATGTTTTGAAAATCCCAATAGAAAAGACTAACGAATACAATCTCTCCAGGTACAGAATATTAATACATAATATTTACGAACAAGCTGAAATGATAGTGACGTTGGGTAATGGAATCGAAACAAGACCAGTAAAAATCAACCAAGGCGCAAGACAAGGAGACACAATATCTCTAAAATTATTTACAGCTGACCTAGAAGATATCTTTAAGTCAATAGACTGGGAAAATAAGGGAACCGCTATTAACGAAAGATACTTGAACCATCCTAGATACGCAGATGATGCAGTACTAATAGTCGACACGTGGAATGCACTGAATACGATGATTGAGGAGCTACACACAGAATCCCTAAAAAAGGACTGAAGATGAATTTCACCAAAACTAAATTAATGTCAAACAAAGGTAAACCTATGATAAACATCCAAGGGACAGAGATAGAACACGTAGATGAACATACATATCTGGATCAAAATGTCAAGGTAAGCAAAGAAAATCAGACTACCGAAATAAGCAGACGTGTAAAAATGGGATGGGCAGCATTTGGAAGACTCTCATACCTACTAAAAATAAAAATTTACCTCAAAGACTACCAACCAAAGTGTTAATTCCTTTAACCTACCTGTACTTACATATGGAGCTCAAACCTTGACATTCACTAAAATAAACATGGAGAACATCAGAAAAACTCAGAGAGCTATCGAACGATAGATGCTGGGTATCTTACTCAAAGACCATGAAACCAATGAAGACATTCGTAACAGAACAAAAGTAAAAGATGCTGTCGAACAGGCAGCTAGACTAAAATGGAAATGTACTGGAAATTACGAACGTCTTAAGAATGGCTGATAGAATAAAAAATCGGGAATTGGCGGCCATATGAAGCCCAAAAGACGACGAGGAAGACCGCAAATGCGCTGGAGCGACAATATTAAAAGAACAACAGGACCAATGTGGAAGCGTCTTACAAACAACAGAAATGAAGGGCGAGAATTAGAAGAGGTCTATATTCGGCAATCCGAATAGAGAGTGCTTAAAAAAAATAATAAGAAAATAATTTTTATGTCAATCAATTCATTCTATAATCCTAATTATTTTTTTAATATTGCAGCACGCTTATGACTCGTCGATTTCATTTCTTCTCAGACCCGCAAAGGTCAACACTGAATATATGAGTCACTCGCTACAATTGTGGTACTATGGTATAGTGATTGAAATCGATATCGACCGTCATCGGCGGATATGTTTGGTATATAATGACCATTCAGAAGAATTAAGTTCAGATGAGCTGTACTATTCAAATCATTCTGTGGTTTGCTAATTGCCTTTCGCGACATCTTTGGAACAATTTTATCGAAGTCGCTTCGATTGATACTATAATTAAAAAGAGAATGCTAAATGCAGGTCTTGTAGAATCAATGATCAATCAGAAGGTAAAAGCATAGAAAGATAATGTACATATAAATAAAAATATTCTAAACTAACAATAAAGTTAATTAATACTTGTGAAATAACACTTACTTGCAACATTCCTTTTCTTCCTTCTTTCCATTAACTCTTAGTTTGATAAACCATTAAAAAACTTCTGTTCGGTAATCATTCATTAGTAGACGAGCCAGGTCGAGCTTTAATTGGTTCATGTCCTTTTCCCTGGTTCCCTTTTCCCCTCGTTACATGTGGCAACGATGTAATTCGGCATTCGGCATAAACATGGATTGGCTTCTAAAGAGAAGCAAGAGACAGTTGGTTGAACGAAGACATGCGACCACGTTGGTGACCACGTGCAGAAGTTATCGTGAAAAGTTTCGTTTCGTGATATGTTTGCCGGCCAAAATATCTTGTAAGTACCTATTTTTCTTTTCCTATATTTTTGCTACCATTTATAGCTCTATTGGATATTATCAAAAGACCTACGGAATTTACACCCATTTTTAAATCTCCTCCGCTTGTAGCTATCGAAGGAAAAAATTTTGCTATGAAAAAAATTTACATATGAGTCTAAAGGCTGAATTTATTTTCTTTTAGACAATTACTTTTCATATTCGTACATTTGGTCCTAATCGACCCGAATATAAACTAGCTGATAAATTTTTTTTGGAGTTTGAAATAGTGTTTCGTTGGGTTATTTCGCTTTGTTAAGTGTTACATATGTATTTGTTGAAAAATATTTATTTTTGTTAAATGATAACACTCTTTTTAGTAGTTTGAAAATAAACGTTTTTTAATGCGATTTACCGGTAGCTGGAATATGATAATATAAGGTTTTTTCGTTTCGCTATTTATTTGCCGGCATTTGAATATTATCGGTTCTCGATTATTGAATCCCGTTATCGGCCGAAGTTAATTTGTTGATTTGGGTTCGCATAAAAAGTTGGAACATCTTTTTGTCTAAACCGTGCGATTAAAATTCGACGTTGCCAATATTAGTTGATCGGGTAAACGCATTATTTGTCTTGTTATCGTTTGAAATTTGAGGTAAATAATAATTGATAAAACATGGATAAAGTTACAGAGAAGAATAAAAAACTGCAGACTTTACGGAAAATGTCGTTGAACGATATACAAATTATATTAGATATAGCGAGAAAGGCAAAAACTGATATTTCGTATAAAACTTTATTTAAGGTTAGATTGGAAGACTTGGAAGCAATTAGAGCGGAATTTTGCAAACATCATTCGGGAATTATTAGCAATCTTTTGTCGGTCCCTGATGCGGGTATAGATGACGAGGAAAAAGTAAGAGAATTTTTTTTGGAACAATTTTACGAAATAAAATCGATAGAATTTGATATGTTTAACTCTCCCTCGGGTAATGCCAATAATGATTCTCTCTCGTCCGCCGGGCATAATAATTCGACCATTCTTCTACCAAAACTTTCGTTGCCTTCATTTCGGGGAGATTTTAAAGAATTCATGTCGTATTTAGATCTATTCAATTCCATGGTACACAACAATTCAAATTTGACGGATGTAGAACGGTTTCGGTATTTGAAAAGTAGTTTGGAGGGCCCCCCCCTCAGTTTAATTCGAAATTTGAGCATTACCAATGAAAATTATGCAATTGCTTACAGTTTATTAGAAAAAAGATATTCGAATATTCGTCGACGAGCTACGGCACATTGGGAGGCCTTAATGAATGCTCCCAAAGTGGCAGTGGCCAGTTCAAAATCGTTATCAAATTTAGTAGATACATTCCAAGAAAATTTAGCTGCATTGAAAACTTTAGGGTTGCCCACAGATAGTTGGGGTTTTATATTATTTAATCTTTTGTTATCACGTTTAGACGCGGATACGATAAAATTATTTGAATTGGAAAACAAATCAGATCGAATCCCATCATTTAACAGTTTGGTAACGTTTGTGGAAACTCAATATATCGCGTATGATAATCTCAATATTGGGCGAGGAGAGAGTAAGAATTCGTCGCGCTCGTCGACCACAGCTGCAAATGATCCTAGGCACAAATGGACTGAAGCAAAAACCAGGAGCCATAGCTCATCGTTTTTAGTAAATTCGTCGTCGTCGTCGTCGCTGCAGTGTCCATTGTGTAAACAGAATCATTATTTAAACCATTGTTCGTCTTTTTTGAAAAAATCTCCGAAAGAGAGATATGAATTTTGTAAATCGTCATCGTGTTGTTTTCGGTGTCTTAACGAGACAAATCATAATACCAAATCGTGTCCTAAAAAATTTGCTTGTAGTAAATGTCAAAGCCCCTTACATAACGTATTGTTACATTTCGGTAAGGATCGGTCGAATAGTCCTCGTTCATCGGAAAGTGGAGCTTCGAACGAAATTGAGGAAAATCCTACAAATCCGTCGCATTGTAGTACTAGCTTGGTTACTAAAAAGGTTGAATCGAAACAAGAAGTGCTACTTGGAACCGTTGTGGTTCATGCCATTGATTGTAAAGGGGGTAAAATTCCCCTTCGATGTCTTGTGGACTCAGCCTCCATGAGCTCATTCATTTTTCGAAAAGCAGCGAACAAATTAGGATTTCCAAAAAAATCGTGTTCGTTAGAAATAGTCGGGCTTGACTCTATGAAAACAAAATTAAATCAGGGTTCTATTAGTTTCTTGATTCAGCCTAGACACACGGATTCGCCTGTGTTTAGTTTGGAAGCTGTAATCACAGATCGGGTTTGCGGTGAATTGCCGAGTACTGAAATCGATATTTCTTCGTGGAACCATATTAGAAATTTACGTCTAGGCGACCCAGAGTTCTATCGTAAACAGAGCATTGATCTCTTAATCGGTTGTAGCATATTTGCAAAGATGCTTTTAGGGGACAAACTGATAGGACAGGAGGGAATGCCTGATGCCCTTAATACTGTGTTCGGTTATATTTTATTGGGTCCCACTTATTCACACGTATCGTCGCCATCCACTTCATTAGTCTGCGTGTCATACGGAGATATGTCGTTAATTAATTCGTTAGAAAAATTTTGGGAAATAGAGAACGTCCCGGAAAATAAAGTTGAAGAACCTGAAGATGCGTTGTGTGAACAAATCTATCAGGAAAATTGTCGTCGGGATGCTTCTGGAAGATATATCGTAGCTTTACCGTTTCGTGAATCATCGCCAAATTTGTCGGGTAGTTATGACATTGCCTACAGTAGATTTTTATCGTTGGAAAGACGTTTGTTGAACCAACCCAAATTGTATAAAGAATATTCGGCACATATGCAGGAGTATATTGATTTGGGTCATATGACATTAGTTTCCCCGGTGGAGCGGGAAAAGGGATTGTTTTATATTCCCCATCATATGGTAACAAAGTCGGATAAGATCAGGGTGGTTTACAATGCTTCGCAAAAATGTCCTAGATTAGGGAAATCACTTAATGATTGTTTGTTAGTTGGTCCTAAGTTACAACAGGATCTCGTATCGCTTTTGTTTAATTTTCGTTTGAATCGTTATGCTATCTGTACCGATATTAGACAGATGTATCGTAATATTTTAATTATTCCTGAGCACACGGAGTTTCAAAGAATTTTCTGGAGGTTCTCACCCTACGAAGAGGTTGAAGAATACAAATTGTTGACGGTAACTTTCGGAATTTTTAACTTTCGGAATTCGTAACTTTTCGTATGTCGACGATTTTGTATTTGGGGCGCCATCTCAAGAAGAAGCCCAACTTCAAATTAAAGAATTGATTGACTTGTTAAAATTGGGTGGATTTGAGTTAAGGAAATGGTGTTCTAATGAACCCAGTTTGTTGTCACAATTTCCTGCTTCGCATATTAATCCCCATTCGTTGAATTTTGATACTGAATCAAATGGTCCTTCGTCTGTTAAAATTCTGGGCTTACAGTGGAATGCACAAACAGATGTGTTTAAGTTTTCTGTAGTTGCGGGTGATGACTCGTGTAGTAAACGCTCATTGTTAAGTGAGCTTGCACGTACGTTTGATCCATGCGGGTTTTTAAGTCTAGTAACCTTCTCGCTTAAGTATTTGATTCAAAGGCTTTGGGCTACAGGTCTAAATTGGGACGATCGTCCACCCTTTGAAATAATTCGTGTATGGGAGCAGTACAAGAGGGAGTTGCCCTTACTTTTGCAATTTCATATACCTCGTTTTTTGAATGTTTCGTCTCATCCAATTGTAGAACTTCATGGATTCGCTGATGGATCAGAAAAGGGATATGCTTGTGTTGTTTATGTTCGTAGTATTGATTCGGGGAACCGAGTTTCAGTCA